GTTTTCGAAGCGTCAATTTGAATCACACAGTTTAACAAAACGAAATGTCATTGTTTGAACGTAAAGCAGAATATTTGAAAATATATATATGTCAAAGTATGCCACCATCTTGGATAAAGATAAAATATAAACTTACGACAGGTATGGGGCTATCTTAGATTAACGACATTCTTACAATATCTTTGGCCTACGATAGTTTCGAAAATAGGCTACGACAATCCACGATTTCCTAACGATACGTTGACGATAATTTTAGGGCTTAGATCGTTTCGAAAAACTTGGCCCTGGAGTCTAATGCATTGTTTAACCCATCCTCGATTATACAGTGTACAATGTCTCCACTCTGTTATGATAAATACCCTGGCACTTTCGCTATCATAGCTTCATTTTGACCCATATTCAAATATTAAAGAGCCAACAATTACAATCCAATCAAATAACACTCAAGCGCGGCAGAAATGAAGTGCTACATTAGTCATTTCCAAAATAAGAGGGCAAATGTGGCCATGTCGTCTAAGGCACCGAAATTCGCTGTGCAGAGTTGCGCCCCTTTGGCACACCAGAAACCTATGATCGCGGGTTCGAATCCCGGTTCGCCCCGATTGTGTTTCTAGGTTTGTCAGCACCATACCCGTGCGCGTTTGTTTCACCACATTAAGCCGACACGCACTGATGTAATTGGAATACTGTTCAAAGCAGCGTTCAACTTCATTCACTCACCCCGAAACCTGCTATGGGGCGAATGTGTCAAGGGTACATATCATAATAGAATGGAGATATAACACACTGGATAACCGAGGATGTGCTTACCCGCTCCCTCATTTCTTTACTTGAATATATACCCACTACGACTGCTTTCAAATTTAATTTAAAAAGAGTCTTTGGAAAGACAATTACTCAAACGAATCGCTTTCCCTCCTGACGAAAATAATGAACTAAGAGTCAGAATGTCAGCATCCCGTTAGAGATACCCACAGGCGCAATCGTTTGTAGAATATGACTTGAATCATTCACTGTGACTTCCTATATGCTGATTGAATTAACGTCTCTCGGTAACTGCCTCCCACGCAGAGCTCTTTAAACAGATAAAACCACTTTTATCACTCGCAGAGGAACCCCTTGTGGTTTCAAAAACCGTTAGCACCAAACCACAGATCACGAAATTCTCTATCTCCGACAATGATCAATCGGTAGTTTGAATTAACACAATAAGCAACGGACATGCGTATGGCTTCGGGATTCAGCCATGGGCCAGTTTTGATGGTTTCAGCGTGAACCCAATAAGCCATAGAAGATGCTATTCACTGATCCCGATAGTTTCACCATAGGTTGTCATTGGGGCATTGCTGCTGGATTTACAGCTTCGTTCGATGCCAAGGGACTATGATTCTACATTGTGTCAATAAGCGGGGAATACGTATGTGCTGGCATTTTACCACCAGTCATATCTTGGTGTTGGTAAACACAAAACTAAACTATTTTTATGACCTTCCTTAATCCTTAAGCAGGTTACAGTACACGTTATAATTCAGGTCTATGTGTGTGAGGGGGCGGTCGGGTAGCCTAGTGGTTAAAGCGTTCGCTCGTCACGCCGAAGACCCGGGTTCGATTCCCGACATGGGTACAATGTGTGAAGCCCCTTTCCGGTGTCCTCCACCGTGATATTGGTGGAATATTGCTAAAAGCGGCGTAAAACTATACTCTCTCACTCACTATTTGTCTGAGTGGTTATAGTTTTATGCCGCCTTTAACAATGTCCAAGGAGTATCCCGGCGGGGGAGGTCAAGGCTTAGCATAGACTCGAACCATGGGCTTCGGCATGACGAGCGAACGCTTTAACCATAAGGCTACCCCCTCCACCCTCTTATAAATGAAAGTGCGCGAGGGAGTTTAACGCTGCATTAAACATTATCACCGTGTGTAAAAAAAGTGCGAATTGTTTTCATCTAGATCGTAGATGTTTACCATATTGGTGAAAGCCATGAGCACGAGTATTATGCTAGCAGACAAGGACCACATTCGAGTCGAATACAAGCCTCGCACAATTACGATTGGATCCTGGTTCGGGTAAGGGACGTAACTCTGCAAAGCAAATTGTGGCGCCTCAGCTCATTTGGTCCCCGGTGCTCATATAGCAGTATGTAACGATTCCGGGGGTCACTTGTAAGCCATTTACACATTTAACAACCAAACAGGCAAAAACAAAAGTGTGCACTTGAAATACCTGCTTCACTCCTTACTGTGTACATTTCTTGTTGTTTTTCACTTTCAGCCAACAGCAAACATGTATACAGTAAACTACGGTTATAACGAACACGCTTATAAGGAAAAGACGGATATAACGAACTTACTTTTTTGGTCCCGACAGTTTGCTGCATTTATGCTGTATATGTGCTTATAACGAACTACGGTTATAACGAACTAAAAATAGTAGTCTCTTTGAGTTCGTTATAACCGTAGTTTACTGTACAGTAAACTACGTTTATAACGAACATCCTTATAACGAACTGACGGATATAACGAACTTACTTTTAAGTCCCGACTATTTGCTGTAGTTATGCTGTATATATGCTTATAACGAACTACGGTTATAACGAACTGAAAATAGTAGTCCCTTTGAGTTCGTTATAACCGTAGTTTACTGTACTTACTTTTCCACCTCAGTTAATAAGACTGACGACTGATCGTAACTATGTTTGAGTGTCTACGCCATATCAAACCATGGAGGAAGTGATTATCTTAAATCCTTAAGTACTGGGACAGAGTTTGGTATTCTTGTAGTATAGGCTATGGAAATAGATCCACCCTCGCGCAACAAACATAAACTTAATGATTGATCCTTCGGGTGTGCCAGCGCCCGTAGTTCCGAGTACATATTTAGACGCACGATACACACAATGACCTCAATATCAGCGGAATAGTTCCCTTTATGAGAGGGCTGATTTATGTCACTGCGCCTTGCGAACGTGGACGCCAAACACAGATCCTTGTAATCCGACGGAATCGATTATACAGCATGGAAAAGATGTTTTATGCTGTTGACTGTCTGTGAGTGCAAATTTATTACATCAGCTAAGCCTCATGCCATATCATGAACAGTTTACTCTCGGATGTACCACCCCAATGTTTGTCAGGGGTTGGATAGGCAAGATCTTAGAGTGCTTGCGTTTTTCATACGGGGTTCGGGTTCGAATCTTTACAAAATAGGCACGATTTGTTAAAAGTAAAAGACCTTTCACTCAAGTCCTAATGTTTAGAGTCTCAATGAGGAATTCGAAAGATGAATGATTTCACGGGGAGGCGAGTTCACGCGTCCCCCCCCCCCCCCATGTCTACCGTAAAACGTTTCGAAAGCTTTACCGAGGCCTTGAATGCACGATGTAGCATTTTTCTATTACGGATTGGCAAACTACCCATTTACCAATACACATTGGTTGACGTGATGGTATTCCACGCCAGTGTCGTATTTGGTTAAATATGTAATTCAAATATAACGTAGAAGGTGAACTTCACTTTCTCTGTAAATGTTCAGTATATCAAGTTCTTCGTCCAAAACATTTAAAAATTCAACAATAACTTCCGAATTCATTTCTTACAATGCAGTAATCTGTCCCGTTTATTGTCTCACTAAGATTTTATTACCAATGCTTTAAATTTTACGCAGCTCCTTTCTGTATTAACATTGTTATTTTGCTGCAACTCTGGTTTGGGGTTGTTGTTTTTTAAATTGACATTTTAGGTAAGTGGGCCTAAGGCCTTTCTACTGAATAAAAAATGGTTGAATGTTGTAGCCTTGATCAAACAACTTCTGAGCAAGAGTTGTATGAAGCTCTTTGACATCTGGGTAGTAAGAGCATGCTGATTGTACCGAAAAAGTTGTTCAGTGTCGACACCAAAGTGAGTGAGTGAGTGAGTTGGGTTTAACGCCGCTTTTAACAGTATTCCAGTTATATCACGGCGTGTCAGGTTAATCTGGGAGGAAAGCCCGAAGTGATGCAGGTCTCGGACGTTTACCACTTCGGTGAAACCCACGAGCACGGGTATGGTGCTGACAAACCTAGAAACATAATAGGGGCGAACCGGGATTCGAACCCACAATCATAGGTTTCTGGCGTGCCCAAGGGACGCAACTCTGCACAGCGAATCGCGGCGCCTTAGACGACTGGGCCACCCGTGCCCCCGTCGACACCAAAGGCTGGGGCTGCTGGAATGTTGCTCGACATGAAGGGAAAGATGACAATTGGAAAGTTGAAGTCATCTCTCTCGTCATACAGCCTCGTGGAGAGTGTTTTGTCACTCTGAATCTTTATGCATAGATCTTGATATGTAACAGACGAGGCGATCTCACTGGTCTCCTTTATTTCTAGTTCTGGGCCCACTTGCACAAAGCGATCTTAGCGCTAAGACTATTGTAAGCCTATGTTAAAGTAGGGGAGTTACGATCATCTTAGCGCTAAGATCGCTTTGTGCAAGTGGGCCCAGGTGGGTAAATCAGTGGAAGGGAGTTGGCTATTTGATTGTTATTGAACGCTATCAGATCATCGATATACCTGAAGCCGATGTTAAACTTCTTTTCCAAATTACCTTGTTTTTACTGTGCCAATTCAAAACATTTCCGATTCATTTACAGTAAAGTACGGTTATAACGAACTCAAATGGACTACTAATTTTAGTTCGTTATAACCGTAGTTCGTTATAAGCATATATACAGTATAACAACAGCAAATAGTCGGGACCCAAAAGTAAGTTCGTTATATCCGTCAGTTCGTTATAAGCGTGTTCGTTATAACCGTAGTTTACTGTACATAAAGAAACAGATCAGCAAGAAGGCCGCAGATGTATGGGAAAGTCTAAAGTGTTAATACAAACCGACATAGGCAGGTACACACCCAGATGCCCGCGCACAAACACACGCACCCACGCAGGCACATGTGTATATTTGAAAATGAATTTCCGAATTTCTCTTCATGCAAATGGTGACATGTTCTTCCTTCTTTCAGATTTACAATACACCTTCGAAGATCCAAACAGCAACGGGGACAGCGATCTGAATGATGTCAAACCTGACCTTGACCTTGCAACTTTTCAAAATGAAGGGTACAGTAATTCACCGGCACAGCCAATAGGAAGCACGTGGGATGCCGTCCAACACGAGATCGGGAAGGTTATTGGGAACGGGTATGTTCCCAATAAAGTGTCTCGACCACAAACCCAAGAAACTCCCGAGGTTCCTGATACGGACATCAACAGGGAGGAAGCATTACGAAGTATGTACGCTCGACTCGTTTTGGCTGCAAAATCAAAGCGAGGTTTGTATGGAAACGTCCTCGGTGGATACAAGCTCGGCAAGAGAGAGTTCATTCCGTACGAGTTCATGAATGAATACCAGAAGCGTCTATTTGGTAGCGTGCTCAACAACTACAAGTTTGGTAAACGTGTGCCGGAAGAGCTGCCGGAAAACTACGTGACAGGCGGACAAATTTACGACAACTACAGGGAGGACCCCCGTGAAAGGAAACGAGTGTTTGGGGGAGTCCTCGGGGGTTACAAGATGGGGAAAAGGAATCTTCTAAACGGCTACCGTCTGAGACGGGTGTGGTATCCACACCCGTCCTATCGAAGTGTTTACGACAATGTCCAAAGGGACTCCGCATGATCTGGTCGAATACACAATGTTAATCATCAGAATTCAGGGATTAAAGTAAAAGCATAGATACATGGATTGAATATTTCTTTTCTCATTTGTCGTAAATTCGAAACTGTCAATCAAAAACACATTTGAAGGGGACATTGGTTTTGGTTAAGCTTGTGTTTGCCATCTGGGCCTAGTTGAACCAAACGACCCCCAGCCCGGTTCCATAAAGCGACCTCAGCCCGACTGTGACTCACATTAACCTTGACTTATGTGTAAAACATTACGCTTTGTGCAAGTGGGCCCAGGCGGTTCGAAAGAGGATAATTCACCACAGAGGTCTTTTTATTTCGTTGTGTTTATCGGTATTGATACTGAATTTGACAGATTTATTCATTCTTGTAAGGATCGAGTATCCGTTGGGCGCCAGTTTTCGTGTATTTGTTTCTAAATATGTCAGCGTCCCTCGATTATTCCCGAAAACTTCTTGTGTTACAGGGTATTATCCATCTATTAATATGTAGTACCCGTGGGACAGCTGGCACGCAAACGTTACATTGATTTAGCATTTTCAATCAGAAGGACACACTTTTCCAACTACATGGTATTAAGGGGAATGTTTCTTTTCACTGGCTGCATCGATCTAACAAACATTCGACACCTAATCTAAAAACATCGCCTCTCTTGTTCTTTATCGACCCTCGCTCTTGTATACATAAGGGCTCGGTTTTTTTGTGGGCGTTTTAACATTTCCCTATAGACGCCGTTACTATGGGGCCTATGGTTTGAAACAAGGAAGTCTACAGAACGATCATCCTCCATTGTCCGGGGATTGTTTCCATTTTATTTTATGCTATATACCCTGGACTGATGTTTCACAAATTTGGCGCAGGTTAGGTTAGGTGTGAGTGGCGGCTTGCACTGGACCGGACTAATGCCGGTTTTATAGTGCTAGCCCACCGAGATACCATGTCGCAGTTAAGGTGGGGTGAAATTGGGTTTAACGTCGCGTCCAAGATTATTGCACTTATATAGCGACGTGCATGCACGTGTGTGTGTGTATGTGTGTGTGCTTGTACTAGTCCGGACTGATGCCGATTTATAGTGCTAGCTCACTGAGATACCATGCCGCAGCTTAACATGAATAAAACTCCACTCAGACACAGTATACTGACTCCGAGCCGACCGGTCCTTGTTTTAGCCCCTTAAAGCCGAGCGCCAGACAGGGTAACAACAAGTACCATCTTTTAACGTCTTTTTGTATGACGCGGCCGGGGATCGAACCCCGAACCTTCCGCTCTCCGGGCGGACGCTCTACCACTAGACCACGGAGGCGGTCCATGTCGCAGTTAAACATGGATATCCCTCTCGGACACATTATACTGACTCCGAGCCGTCCAGTCTTGTTTTATCCCCTGAATGTGTCGAGCGCCAGGCAGGCTAACAAACCCTAGCACTGAGCCTGAAACAACCAATCCAAATGACTCCACTCAGTTCAGCGTAGATCTGAGAAAGAGGTGCATTTTGATTGGACAGCTATTTTGTACCGCCATCTTTTGTTTTGTTGTTTAAAGCAGAACTCAGCAATATTCCAGCGGTGGCGGCGGTAGGTACATAATCGACTCTGGACAAGAATACCCAATGATTGATATCATGAATATCAATCTACTTAACTGGGATACGACGACATGCTTCAACAAAGTCAGCGAGCCTGACAACCCGATCCCGTAAGTCGCCTCTTACGACAAGCATGGGTTGCTTAAGTCCGATTCTAATTCGGATTTTCGCGGATGCAGCGTCGCGTCATTCGAATCGAACTCATGGGAGCTCAGGTATGAAAGGAATTCTGTGCTAATGGAGAGATGGAGATGTGACGTCACTGATACGAAGCTATGATCGCGTATGGGTCCAGGGTTTTTATCACAATAGAATGGAGCTATAATGCCCTTGGTAATCGAGGATGTTCAACAATCGCCATTATTTGTATTCAAAGTGTGTGCGTTTATTGCCCATGATTTTTAATGAAAACCGTTTATCTGGAATAACGGGTTCCTCCCACGGTTACGTAGTGGATTGGTAGAGATAAATAACCCCAGAGTGGCGAGGATGATCTAAACATGGATCGTAAGACTTCACTATGAAACTGATATGGTGTTGTCAAGAATGTAATGCTCAATGAAAAGCTGATGTGTTATCAATGCTGTGAAACTGTGTTTATGTAAATGATGTGAAATTACTGTAAATAAATGGATATGCCATTTAACTTCGTATGGTCTATCGTAAGGGCACGCGAGTGCGTGAGTAAGACTGCGTGATTGAGTGCGATTTTACGTGAAAATCGAAACCGTATCGCCTTATGTGCCGCAATTCGCAGTGCAGAGTTGCGTCCTTTCGTTATATCAGGATACGCTAATTCTTGTTCCGAAGCCCAAGTTAGATCTGTAGAAAGGGTACGTGAGTGAGACTGTGTGATTATGGTTTTACATGATTTTCGAAACCGGACCGTCTAATGTGCCACAATTCTTTGTGCAGTTGTGTGTCCTTGCGTTCTATCAGGATAAGTTAGATCTGATTAGTTTGTCAGCACAATATCCGTGCTGGACACCCTTGCACTGCGAAACTTTGAGTCCCCCTCCACCCCCGACCCCACCCCGACCCCCACATATACCACTCGCTTTTCACCAGACACGTATCATTCGCTTTTCACCAGAAACATATACTGCTTGTTATTCACCAGAGACATATATTATTCACTATTCACAGAGACATATACTGCACACTATTCACAGAGACGTATACTGCACACCATTCACAGAGACATATACTGCACACTATTCACAGAGACATATACTGCACACTATTCACAGAGACATAAACTGCACACTATTCACAGAGACATATACTGCACACTATGTACAGAGACATATACTGCACACTATTCACAGAGACATATACTGCACACTATTCACATAGACATATACTGCACACTATTCACAGAGACATATACTGCACACTATTCACAGAGACATATACTGCACACTATTCACATAGACATATACTGCACACTATTCACAGAGACATATACTGCACACTATTCACAGAGACGTAGTGCTTGCTATTTACATGAGACGTATACTACTCACTATTCACGAGGGACGTATAATACTCACTATTCACGAGGGACGTATACTACTCACTATTCACGAGGGACGTATACTGCTTAGTTTCACAGAGACATATACTGCACACTATTCACAGAAACATAAACTGCACACTATTCACAGAGACGTATACAGCTCGCTATTCGTGGAGTCATTTAGTAGTACAATATTCACCGTGTTCTGATGACAAGAAAATGTAATACCGATTAATTAGACAGGTGACATGGCCGCGGAATCGTGTAAATATAATTATTGATTGATTAACTTTTGATTGTGCTGAAGGAAGTAGAATCAAGCATTCCATGGTACAAAACGCACCTCCCGCAGCTCATCATAATGGCTTATGTACGTGTCTATCAGAGCAGGAACGGTTTCGTGGTAGCGGAGACGTAACCATTACGCCGTGCTGCACGGAATTTGTTTGCTTGGGCCCGTGTTTTCATCAACTGATGAAGTACAAGTGCACCGTCAGTCCTTAAATAAATACTGGTTAATCAATTTGCCCTTTACCATCGGCAATAGAAAATGGCATGTACAACCAACACAGCATTCGGCGGTGGCTAATTATACCTTCTCCGTTGTGTTTCCGATCTCGTACTGGGGTTAGTATGTAGCGCTCGATTATACAAATCAGAGTATAGGCCCAGAAAACTGTTTCCTGATTTAGCCCAAACAAACATTGGGTACATGTTGGCTTCCTCTATCCTGCTGTGAAACGACAAACACAAATTGACGGAAATACACGGCTTAATCAGATAGGAACGTTCAGGCTGCCATGATAAACTTCAAACGACATTTCAGCACTGGGACGAGACCTCAAGAGACATATTTACGTGGAGTTTGATAACGCCTCGCCCAGCATTATTCCAGCTATATGGTGGCGGACTGTGGACGAGTCTCGTCAAAGCCATCTAGTGATTGATATTATGAACAACAACCACGACGTCTTGGTGCAATGACTATCATCCAGGGCCCCGTTCCAGGGCGACTTTAACGTTAAGGTGATCGTAACTACCATACTTTAACACAGGCTTACGAGCGACGTAGCGCTGAAGTCGCTTTGTGGAACGGGGTTCAAGTCATCGAGGCTGGCCAGCCGTTCCCTTTGGTCGTCTCTTAAGACCGTTTTAGGTTACTAGTGGCCAATGTTAAAGCTAATGGAATCCCCTCGGGTGTGCCTCTCATTCATAAACTTTAGCAGGTCCCTCGACTATGCAAGACAAGACAAATGTTCTATGTATTATGTAATTTCTAACATGGTCTTACCATGAAAGTAATAATGACGTTGCGCAGACTGAATGTAGTTTCGGCATTCAGAGTTAGTTCACTAGAGTTAAATAAAAATCAATTTATTCAAGTGAAATATAGATTGTATGTTTGGAAATATATATTGTATTTGATCACTAAACTACACAATACATAGCTTTGTCTAGCAGCGAGGGGTCTATTCTATTCGGATGATCCACGAGTGAGTGAGTATGGTTTTACGCCGCTTTTAGCAATATTCCAGCGATATCACGGCGGGGGACACAAGACATGGGCTTCACACATTGTGCCCATGGCGCGAATCGAACCCGGGTCTTCGGCGTGACGAGCGAACGCTTTAACCACTAGGCTACCCGACCGCCCCTGGTTGATCCACGAGGAAACAAGGGCAAAATGGCTCAGTGTACTGGAAATACCCACTGTCAAACAAGGACAGGTACCAGGGACCTGTCTACTCGCAGTACCGCCCCCTTGGTCCAGTGGTAGAACGTCTGCCTGGAGAGCGGAAGGTCGTGTGTTCGATCCCCGGCCGCGTCAAACCAAAAGGTGTCGAAAGATGGTACTTTTTGTTACCCTGCCTGGCGCTCGGCATTAAGGGTCTAAAACAAGGACTGGTCGGCTTGGAGTCAATATACTGTGTCTGAGTAGGGTATTCATGTTAAA